ATTATTGTTTGACGCATTGTTAGTTAAAAAAATCGCAATTGATATTTATATAACGTATATTTAATTACAAATATTAATATTATACATCACTTATAAAATTATTTTTTTAATGTTAGTTTGAAATAATAATCCAAATTTTAATTGTAAAAGTTATACTAATAGTTATGGTTCTATAATAGTTAATGTAAAATCTCACATTAAACGTTTTCCTCAAGAGCCGATTCAAAAATATATAACAAATGTTTTATTATTAACTATATAAATATAAACATACTTAGAGTCTTTATTGATAATAATTAGAAATTCAATATCATCATAATCTTTAATTACATTAGTTTTCTTAATTTTTTGTTATTATTTTCCCTTACGATCTGTACCATCATTTTAATTCCTATTCTACAACATGTAGAATTCAACTTTATTATGTTCCTACATGAATTAAACGACATCGGGTTCGAGCACAATAAATGTTAAGGGTATGAGTTTAATATCAAATGGTCGACAGTCGTCTTAAAATAAATATTATATTGTACTTACCTCATATTAATAAAAACAACTTTATTATGTTTCTTTCTTTTGTAATAATAATATGTTTATTTATGTGTTCTTAAATTTTAACTCAATTTTAGAGTTATTAACATAACCTCTTTATCATATTTAACCTTCATGATCTCTAAAATTGAGATAATTTCTTTAAAGATAATTTATAAGTCTACAAAGATATACCTTCAGCTAAACAATAGAAATAAAGATATAAAAATGTAATTACGATAAGACCTTTCGATCCTCACACTGCTTTTCGTCAAGTGTCAATATTGAAAATGTCTTGTCTAATCATAGTAGGATATGGTTCAAATTCATATACACAAATCGGTATGCATCTTCACTTGCTATAACATGAATTTGATGTTACCATCGAGCAATAAAATTTCATAGTTAAAAGATGTCATTACCATGACCGGGACAAATAATTTAGATGCTCTGATATTAATTTATAATAAGAAAATGATAAATAGTGATTACACAAATAAAAGAGACAAAATTTGATATCAAATTTTATGTGAAAAAATCTTTAACGAGAAAAATCACAACAACAAGGAAAAAATGTATTATTTGAAAAAAGAATACAAGAGGATTTACATAATCGATTTAACTTCTAATATTAATCTATATTATTTATTTGTAGAGATAATTACTTAAATACAAAAAGAAACATATGTAGTTATAAAGTCTACTCAAACTTAATTTTCTATTTTTAATGAAAAAAATAATACAAGAAATATAATAAAAACAAAATAGAATTCAAATCAAAATTTAATAACAAAAGATATTCAAACATCTTCACCTTGTAATACTTAAAAAAAACATTTATCAATTGATTGTTTGTTTAATAAATATTATTATGGTGAACAAGTATGTGGTAAAAAACTCTCAATTGATACATTTTTCCTCTCTTAGGTTATGAGTTTAATACATATTAAGAGCAAAATTCTTTTGCCCCTCTCTCTAGGTAAGATTTGTTAAAAAAAATTAAATTATTATAACATCTTAATTATTATAAATTTAAAAACATTTAAAAGTTTTTACCATGTTAGTGCGTGAAGTTACCATTTTTACCCATGTTACTCATTGTCGTTATCCCCCCCTTTTGGGCCGTAACGAACGCCGTTTTCGATATCATATTCCTAGACTAAAAATCAAAGTTATTGTTAGTTTTATTAGTTATTCGTATAACCTACAAATGATAAATTTTAAAACTAAAATATAATAATTAAATTATTTTTTTCAATCAATATGAAACTTTTAAGCACACATATGCATGCAATGATGCAACATTGCACCCAGTTCAGAAAGAAAGTTTGTTTAATCTGAAGTTGTTGACACAACTCATAAAAGATTTGGAATTAATGTGGACCGTCTTCCAAAATTAATTTTGTTGGTAAACTAATCGATTATACGCGTTTCGCTTTATCAATTGCTCTGGAAGGTTAAATTCAGTTTCTTTTGTGGAAAGTAATGTTAGAATTGTTCCAAACATTTGACAAATTAATGGCAACATCAACATAACGTCATCACCACTAAATCAAGTGGCCAAAAACCCATGATCAAATCTTATTTAGTAATTTAATGGCGTTGATCCTTATCTTCAAACCGCCTGCCTTCCCACTAAATCAGCTTACTTCACCCACTTAAATTCTTTCAAATTATCGAGCTCATAACAAAATGGGGTTTCGATCAAATTCTGGGGTAATTTATCTTAATTAAGTTGGTTGAGAAGGCCAACTTAAGCGAAAAAGTATTGGCTCTTTTTTTCTGACTGAATTGGAGAGGTGGGGGCACAGGGGACCACTTCATTAAAAAAAGAGAGGGACAGAACATGTAAAAGAACATGAAAGACATTGGCTCTTCTGTTTTTATTTAAAATTGGGAAATTAAATAATGTTTAAAGAGGTTAATTAGTGAGGTAATGGAGGGGAAAAAGGATCTAGGGAAGCATCTAAATCAGCATCTTTATATTATTACCATGTGATTGTGTTATGTCATGTGCCTTTTTTACTGAGGTGGTTACCTTTGATTGGAGCCTGGGGATGTGTCATGTTCCACTGCCTTTGTGCGGCAGCTCCCAATTATTATTCACCGCGGATTTCATCATTCATTAAACCTTATTTGTTTAACATATGAGATCTATTAAATTGGATTTCGATTTGCCTCTACATACATTACATCACTAGACGTCTAAATTTAACCCCTACATTCACGAGTCAAACATATTTAACTACGTATTTGTAGTCTAATTAATTATGGTTATGCATGCTTGTTTCTTCATATTTTGGTTATTTATTAGGTTTGGAGATATTTTTCTAATAAAGATGAAAGAGATTTTAATGTTCCTAGATTACTACAAGACGAAAATGAGTTAAAAGATATTGGAACTTTTCTATGAGTTTTTTTTTTCTTCAAATTATCGTTTGTTCGTTTTCATCGGATAAAATTACACCCCGTCTAAACCATCGTTAATCGTCTACTTGTTTAAAGAAGATTTGAGAGGAATTAAAATATAATTTAGGCTTTTTAAAAGAATTTAAAATTTTATGTTTCTTTTAAATATTAATAATAAATTAATATTATAGATCGATTGAGTGAAAGATTTTTTTTACGATCATTAATGAGGTAATCTTAAAATAATAATAGAATGTAACTCTAAACACCTTAAATGATATCGGAATAAATATTAGACATTTTTGAACAAAGAATATAGAATTTAATACTTATATTTTAATTAAGTCTCCATAATATGATACCTCTCCCTTCCTTTTGCATAAATGTGATTGGTTGATGTATGAAGATGTTCACATGGCTTTTCTAATCAGCGCTCAAACATGTTGGGGACAAGACAAGGGCCACTGAAGGTATAAATAACGTATATATTAACATTAACCTTATTGCGAAATTAGGCCCTGATTATTGGCTCATCATTCATTGGAAAAACCAACTCGTAATTCTTTTGAGCTACCTCGATTATATTTACGAGAGCACTTTAGGTGCGTAATTAGTACATATTAAAAATGATCGACAACTATATTTCATTAATTATAGAAAAAACAAGTCAATTTTAATTAGCAGGCCGCCCTCACAAATATAACTTCAAATATTAAAAATAAAATAAATATAAAAAAGAAAAAGAAAGAAAACGATTGTGTCCCAAATTCAGTTCAACAATTCCCAATTATTTTTTCAGTTGCAAATTCTCTTCTCTTTTGAGGCTTTCATTCATTTACTTGTCTCATTCACCTAACCGTCGAGTGTCCTTGATAAACCCCATAATTTTGGATAACATATAAAAAATAAGTGATCTCTATTTATCTATAAATAAAAATATTATATATTTTTTTATATCACAATGATAATGGGATCAATCAAAGCAAGATTAAATTCAATTTACTTTAATATCTCTGTTTAAAATTTTGACATATTTAATAATTTATATATTATTTCTCTTTTTAAATTCTAGTGGTCCTACAGTTTATTTAATTATTTTTTTGTTGTGATGTTAGTATTTAAATAATTTAATTATTTTGTGAGATTCAAGTTAAGATTCGAACCTAGATTTATTCTAAAAAAATTAAATTATACAATTGTTACGTTTAATCGTTATCTTTATCATATGGTTCATAATAATTTTATTTAACTAAAGCTGAAATATTAAATTAGAATTTTATATATTTTAGATGAAGTGAAATTTAAAATTAATTATATTATGATTAAATAATGACATGAAAAATAAAAATAAAAATAATATATAAATATTATATATGTTTGTGGTGTTATTTTAATAAATGTCTGGTCCATCCGTCGACTGTAAATTAATTTTTTAGTTTAATCATTTATTTGAATTCATGAGAGGTGATCATGACCGGATCTATCATCTAATATTTGTTCAAGCTAAAATTTTAATGTTAAAAATAATCTTTATTTATTTTTATAACTTAAATTTCAATAATACATTGTTAATTAGCAGTTAGATATCTAATTAAATCATGAATTTAACCCAAAAAGAAATAGAGGGAAACAGGACGTAGACCTGACCAAGTCAAAGCGCTAGCGTTTAAAATGGGGATGGAGCCACTAAGTGCTATTATGGTTCTGAACTTTTATTTTGTAGGTAAAATTATATTTTATTTTTCAAAATTTAAAATTAATAAATAAAAATTTAATTTATTTGAACTTTAGAATTTAATTTTTAAAATTTTTAATATAAAATAATTTGATTTCTTGTAATATATAATCTTAATTTCGAGACATGTTAAAAATTATATTTAAATGTCGGAGATGTTAGAAGGATAAGCATGAACAGACTTAAGAAAGGAACATAAAATAGATAAAAGTAAGAAAAAAAAAATATACAAGAAATACAGTGGGAATGAAAAAAGAAAAAGAGAAGTTTTTACTATTCACAAAATTACAAACTACAGACACAAACTGTAGTGAAAAATCAAAATCTGTGTTTTTTTCCATCTAATTTGTTTTTCAGTACGAGTAAGCTAATCGTTGAACACCACGATCCCTGAGAATTCCATTGTACAGAGCAACTCTATTAGCAGGAATTCCTCTATCTTTACCTCCACCAAATTTCTTGAACTTCGGTGTAGAATTCAAAGCCGACGCCGCTGAATTGTTGATTCTAACACGATTCTTCAGCTGTTTCCTGAACTCTGCACCATCGCTCCTTGGATCCATCACATCCTCAGCAAAGTGCACTTTCTTCTTCTTCGTCTTCTTCTTCCCTTCTTTAAAACAAACCAAAAAAGTTAAAAAATAATTATGTAAACACTATGTTCAACACATATTCATGCAATCGTTTTGTATAGATTTGTACCAGAAGATATGCAGGAACGGAGGGCTTGTTGAGAAGGCAGTGAGATTTGATCCAAAGATTTCTGAAGACGAAAAGCAAGTAGAATTACAGTGCCAGAGACTGCCATAGCTGTGGCTAACACCATTCCTTGAGAACTCAACATCGAAGCCATATTTTCAACTAAAATCTCAAACCCCAATGGAAAAAAAATATTTTTGGAGGTTAAAATGGGTGAAAAGAGATGTGGTGTTTACAGAGGGATAAGTAGAATGATGGTTTATAACATAAACGTGGCCTGAATAATTGAATAAAATGTTGGGGATCAAATGGCCAATGATTTATATGTCTAGGAAGGGAAGGCAGGCCTGATTGGTGGGTTTTTAATATATTTTCTGTAAAAATCGGTGTAATGAAAAACTGAAATGCAAAGGGATGAGTGGCGTTGTTGGGATCTCTTAACTGCTCCTCGTGCACTACACGGCAATGCCCCGACGAGAAAACCAAACCCCGTGCTGATGACATCAGTTATATGGTCACCCAATATCTGTTTCCACCAAATTTGGCAGCTCGTGATCCGGACGCTTCATATTTAGGTTTTGTATTTTTTTAGTATAATACCAATCGGATTTGGAAATCCATGTCTATGTTAGGAGATTAACGTCTGGATTATGAGGTGATAATACCGAATTTCATCCGTTTGTTTGTTAGGGTTGTTGGTAACAATTTTAATGTTTGTTTACCTGTAAAATCGGTTAAGGATAGTTGATACATACGCGAAAGGTTGGGTCGTTGCATTTTCATTCGCTTTCCTATATTCCATTTTTTGTGAAGAAAAGTTGAATTAGTTTGTTGCGAAATGGGCAAAAATTGGAACATTTTTCAACGGTGTCAAGGAGGCTATTTAAGGGAATAATCGAAACGGGAGGCAAAACAAGAACGGACAACGATCTGTAATGTACGATGACAGACAAACCTTTGCTTTTGTCTGCAAAACTCATACAAACTCTACACAAATGGTTCTCCTCATATGCTCCCTTAATTTTCCATTCGAGAGTGAATTTCACGCTCTTATATACACAGTTTTGTCTGCTGAATAATTATTGGTTAATTCACCTTTGAAGATTCGTTTGCATTGTGTCATCCATGATGTCTCAGACTCTGCCATGCTCAAGTCTTGGACTTTAGAGTTTGCTTATAGCTTTGACAAGTTACTACAAATTAAAAATGAAAAAGGTTGTAAATTAAAATGTTTAAAAATTAAATTTTACATATTTATGAAAAGTTTTAAAATTTTCATTTATAAATCATTATATTATTAGATTTGTAAAATTTAAATTGAAATGTTAAATTTACACGTAATAGTATTTTTTAACAAAAAATATTATAAATTTCTTAGCTTATTTTATAACGAAGAGTTTATTAAACAATAAAATATCTTTAATTATAACTTGGTTTCCTCACTTTGATGGAAATAATTTACCAGAGATTAAAAATGAAAAATAAAGTCTGCTCTTTGTGGCTTCATTGTCCTCTAGCAGTAAGCAACCAGATACATACTGATTTTAAAATATAGTTGGACAAAGAATGGGAAACTGATGAAATAAACATCGAAATCATGTGATGTTACGTATTAGGAGGAAACAGGAAACTGATAAAAAATAATAATAACTTTAGCACAAGTGGGTGTCATTAGTGACTGATTCACTTTACTTAGCGGACACATATATACTTTAAAATATAATTTTTTTATGTTAAATATTTATTTTATTAATTGTATCAATTTTAAAATTTTATTTATGATTATTTATATAAATTTTAAGTTATTAATGCATGTATATCCACCTCAAAAAAAATTATATCTATCATTGGGTGTCATGTGATTTTGAGCATAACAATGATTTATACAAGATTTTTAGTTTTCTTGGCAACACTAATTGAATTCGGATAAGGGAGTTCCTTATCCAGGTTTCTGTTCGTATGGGTCAAGTTTCGACTTTACATCAAATCGAATTATTGTCACACTCATAAAATCAAGAGGTAAAGTGACAGAAGAACAACAATAAACTAACAAAGCAAACGGGAAGGGAAAGTGAGACTCAACAGAAGAAAGGAGATAATATTTTCTAAAGTAAACTGAAGAAACGAAGTACATACAGTAATATGTAAAATGCAAAATAATCTTATGGGTTATTAATAGTGGACAGACCCACTATATATAACAACTAGCCCAACTAACTAGCCCAACTGCTCAAGCTTCAGTTATAACAAACTAACCGAAAACATTTACAACTAATCAGCTACAAACAGTTGTATTATAATACTCTAACATTCTTCGGGTTTTCTAATGACTTGAATTGCTACTTCAACATTTTCCTGGCAACTCAAATCTGCTCCTTATGACCGCAACCATTGATTTTTGTCCATGATTTTACACTAAGACGAGAGCGCATATTACTGAATATTGCAGGTGGCAACGGTTGGTGAGTATATCAGCCACCTGTTCTGCAGAAGGCACAAAATTGATACTCAGCTGTTCAGCCAGAACTTTCTCCCTCACAAAATGAATATCAATTTCTACATGCTTTATACGAGCATGGTGTGTCTGATTTGCTGCTATAGAAATTGTAGAGGTGTTATCACACCACACAACTGGGTTTTCAGCTACTCTAACCCCAATTTCATCAAGTAGTTGTTCAATCAAAATTAATTCAGAGACAGAATTAGCAAGACTTCTATATTCCGCTTCTGATGTAGACCTGGAGACAACACTTTGCTTCTTGGAGCACCATGCAATTGGATTTCCCCCAAGATATACACAGTAACCTGTTGTGGATCGTCTATCTTCCACCGAGGCTGCCCAGTCTGCATCAGTGTAGCAGACTAGACTAAAGTTTCCAGCTTGAGTGAAAAACAGACCATGCTCAAGTGTGCCACTGAGATACCTCAAAATGCGCTTTACTGCTCTCCAATGTATATCAAATGGGCTATTAATGTACTGACTAACCTTCTTAACAACATAGGCTATGTCAGGCCTTGTTAAACACACATATTGCAAGCCTCCTACAATGCTACGATAGAGATGAACATCTCCAAACAACTGTCCGTCGTTTGCCTTAAGCTTAGGAGTAAGGACCATAGGCGTAGGTGTTGACTCATCTAGGTTCGAGCTTTTCAAAAAATCATAAATATACTTCTTCTGATTTAAAATCAACCCTTCTGAAGTATGTTCAACTTGTATTCCAAGAAAAAGCTCTAACTGACCCAAATATTTGAGTAAGAACTCCTTATTAATTGCTTGCATTGCGACATCCACTTCTATCACCTGACTTCCTGTGATAACTATATCATCAACATATACCATTAATAATACTTGAGAACATGCTGAATTTCTAATAAATAAAGAAGAGTTAGCTTTTGAAACAGTGAAACCAAGGCTTTCAACCAGGAATTTCCTCAAGGTCTCAAACCAAGCCCTAGGAGCTTGCCTGAGCCCATAAAGTGCATTTCTTAAACAACACACTAACTCCTTTCCATATTCACTTTTCTGCTCAAATCCCGGAGGCTGTCTCATGTAAATTTCCTCAGTTAATCTTCCATTGAGGAATGCATTGTTGATGTCTATCTGCCTAAGTGGCCAATTTTTCATAACAGTAATAGCCAAAACAGTCCTAATTGTACTCGCTCGAACAACTGGACTGAATGTCTCAGAGAAATCTCTCTCAGCCATTTATGAATAGCCCTTGGCAACCAGACGAGCCTTCAACCTGGCAACTGACCCATCAGGCTTCTTCTTCACTTTAAAAAGCCACTTGCAACCCACTGCTTTGCGTGTTGATGGAAAAGGCTTGAACTCCCATGTACCATTCTTCATCAGAGTAGTATATTCACTTTGAACAGCCTCACACCAAGCAGGATGCTGCAATGCTTCATAGACATTTGTTGGCTCTTGAGGACATGTCTCAGCAAGCAATATTTTGGGCTTGAAAATGCCAGCCTTCCCACGAGTAACCATGGAATGTGTATTCTGAAGTTGTCGTGACAGTGGTGGTGGTGGTGATGGAGATGGAGATGGAGATGGAGATAGTAGTAGTGATGTAGATGATGGAGATGGAGATGGAGATGGTGGTAGTGACGTAGATGATGGAGATGGAGATGGAGATGAAGATGATGGTAGTGATGTAGATGATGGAGATGAAGATGGTTGTAGTGATGTAGTAGTTGTGAACGGACGAGATGAAAATGATGTGGATGGTTGTGATGAAGGTACATTGGGTGGTGATGAAGTGAATGAATGTGATGATGTTGAAGGTGTAATAGATAGTAGTTTTGAAGGATGAGGTGTTGATATTGGTGATGACAACTCTGATATTTGTTGTGGTAGTAAGGAATATGGTAAGACTAACTTGTGACTGTGTGTGTTAGTGGAAGAAAGAAATGAATGATAAAACAAACTATCTTGGGAGATAATATTTTTGACACTTGAACACCTTTGTTCAGTTTTAGTAGGACTGTATATCATTGATGGAGTAGAGATACTAGAAAGGTTTTGAAGCTGTTGATAAGGGAACTCATTCTCTTCAAAGCGAACATGTCTTGATACATAGACTCGACCACTAGAATCTAAGCATTTGTATCCCTTATGAGTAGGAGATTAACCAAAAAGACACAAGCAGATGACCGAAACTGAAATTTATGTTGATTATAAGGTCTTAGAAATGGGTAACACACAATCAAAAAACCCTTAAAAACTATAATCTGGTGTTTTGTGAAAAAGTTTTTCATATGGTGAGATGCCAGACAATGCCCGTGTAGGTAACCAATTAACAAGAAATACTGCACGAGAGAAAGCATCATTCCAGAAACTTAAAGGCATTGAAGCTTGAGCTAACATAGAAAGACCTACCTCAACTATTTGTCGATACTTTCTTTCTACCAAGCCATTCTGTTCTGAAGTGTGAGGGCATGACATCCTGTGCACAATGCCTTGCTCCTTCATGTAGGCTTGAAGAACACCAAACTCACTTCCTCCATCTGGCTGAAACACTTTGAGCTTGACATCAAACTGCCTTTCTACTTGTCTATGAAATTGAGGAAAAACAGACTTGACCTTAGACTTTTGTTTTAAAAAATAAATCCAAGTATACCTACTATGAGCATCAATAAAAGCAACATAGTACCTAAACCCATTAGAGTACACAGGAGCAGGGCCCCATACATCAGATACAACAAGCTCTAAGGGCTGTGTATAACAAGTGTGTGAATCAACAAATGGAAATTTATGTGACTTAGCAAGTTGACAAGCTTTACACGACATTTGTTCTTTATTAGCATCAAAGGGAACTATATTGTAGTGTTTTAGAGCAGAAACTAAAAACTCTTTAGAAAGGTGGCCAAGCCTTTTGTGCCATATATCCATAGACACTCTAGTATTAACAATATGACAACTTATTGAAGGCAAAAAATTATGAGCAGCATTATCAATACAAGCAGAATTATTACAAGCAGAATTAATATGAGCAGAATTAATATGAGCAGAATTATTACAAGCAGAATTAATACGAGCAGAATTATCACAAGCAAAATTAATATGAGCAGAATTATTAATATGCAGACAGGCGTCATTTTCAACAGACTTATTCATAGCAACATTAAATTTATACAGTCCTCCATCTTCACTCTCTTTTAACATAATTTTTCGAGTGCGCAAGTCTCGAACTTGGCATAAATTAGGATAAAATTCAAGTAGAACCTGATTGTCCCGAGTGAATTTGGAAACATATAACATATTTTTAGTGATATTAGGAACATACAATAATTTATTTAAAAGAAACCTATTGGAATTAGCACAAAAGAAAGAGTGACTACTCTTCAGTATTGGTAGAAAATTACCATTACCAACAATCACACTACCTGTTCCAGGGTGAGAATTCCTTATCCAAATTTCTATTCATCTGAGTCAAGTTTCGATTTTACATCAAATCGAATCATTGTCACACTCATAAAAATCTAGAGGTAAAGTTGTTTTACTTGTTTATTATTGTGGTTTGAAATTCAACTTGGCTCGCACAAAACGTTAATCATGCCCAGACATAAAATGAAAGCTTTCAATCCTATGCTCTGGAGCTTAATTTGTAGCCACACGTTAAAGGCTTGATGTGGAGAATGTGAAAGCACATTTCTATTCCTTTTAGACCGTAATGAATGAGTATGTAGGAAAATTGCGGGCGGACATGACCTAAAGTAAGAATGCATGACCCTTTTTCCAAAGTAAAATAACATTTTAGGCTGAATGGGTGAAAGCCCTACGCCTTAGACCATCTTACGGTCATGATTTACCCAAGAAAAGAGGTTTTGGTCGACAAAGGTTATGGATGGAATCCACTTGCTATACTTTTCTACAAATTGCTTGCTCCATCGACCAAACAAAGTAGTATACAAACAAGTCAATGGCGGAACTTTGGGTTTTACACGTACTGCTCAAGCTACAATAATAAATTTAGACAACAAAGCTCCGTGGAAATAGAAAATGGGGTTTCCAGTTACCATAGGGAACATATTTTGGTCTTACAAGGAACTGAAAGGGTAGATTATAATTCACATAACTTGGCAAGTCAAACAGATTAGGAGTAATGGGTTGGCAGATTATGATTTAGGCATTTAAGTATAAGAAACTAAAATTTAACATTATTATTATTTAGTAGGGTAGAAGATCATCCAATAGAATATTTTAAAATGTATTGAACTATACATGAAAGAAGTTGAAATAAATTTGGATATTTATAAAATAAAATGATCTAATTGTTAGAGTTTTATGATTCAATTTTTTTTATTCAGTTTGAAAATTTTACGATGTAACTCGTATATATTAAATCCGTATAAAACTGAACTTCTTCCTATATAATTTTATAATCTTATAAACAATTAATGCATTTTAGGATTTTATTTAGAGAGAATTATTATCTCACTTAGTGTGAGTCGTAGAAACACAAATTTCTTGTATTATTTTAATATTATAATAAATTTTCTTCATCATTACATATAATTTTTTCTGTTTTAGATTTTGCAAATCACCAAAAATTGAAGCTTTTGGTTTCAGTGCACCAAATTAGTAATGCAAGGATTGGTAGTCAAAGCGTTGGTAATTGAACCACAACCATCTATAGGATTGCAACATGCTGCTATACATAAATAGTTTGATCTTTACACATAAACTGAAAGATTAACCATTTGGTATTCGAATCGATGAACTTATTTTCCTTCCCGGTGACCATAAGGGTTCTGTATTTTGTCTCAATAAAGCCCTTAACAACCTCTTCCAAGTTTCAGGGTGTGGCTTACTGCACAAGGAAGACTAATCTGTTCTCTAGTGGGGAAAGTAAAAGCCGGTCAACTCTTTATAAAATACTCGGTTGTTTCTAAGATAATTACAAATCTAACAATAATGAAAGAAAAAAAATATGGTTTTAAGAATAAACAGTAGGATTGGTGATCAATACCATTTCAGTATTGCAAAGAATGTCAAAAGATAAGCTTTGTATGCAAGAGTGGATAAGGTATGAATTTACAAAGTCAGACAAAACGAAGAGGTGTCGGGACTAATATCCTGTGCTACTTTTAGAAGGTGTTCTATATCAATATCGGGGTAGTGTTGTAATAGCCTTAAGTTTGCTGCAAAATCACCACTCAAAAGCCTGCTTTTCGCACACAGCAGCATGGCACAGCATACTCGTAGAAGCATTTCCTGCACAAGGGATAGCTTGTTGTAACAAAAGTGTTTCTTTCAATTTACAAAACCTGAAACATACAGGGATAAAGAAAGAGAAACCGACCTGGACACCAAAAGGATTACTCAGAAGAGAATCCCAGATTCTTAGGATTGATTGGAGATTGAATTCTTGAGTAAGTAGCAATGTTATCCACCGGAATGCATAGTACTGAGGCTTAACCTGATCATTAATATAGATGTTATAAGCACAGGAGTATGCAGAAGGGGTACCTTAGCAGAAATCAAAATGAATCAAAGGGTTTAACAAGGATGAGGAAACAATGAAAATGTCGACTTTCAACAAAAGTTGATATGCTATGTATCGAGTAATTGAACACCCTATAAAGAACACCTCATACTTCCATTAAACTTGCCTTAGTTGTGAATTCAAGATGACGCCACAGTTCCTCATCATTGGCTTTCAGTAGCTCTGCCAAGCGGGAAAGAGTAAAAAGGATGCCCACAGAACTGTTATCTAATTGTTCACAGAAGTGATCTACTGAGTCACTCAAGAGTAGGACAAAACAAGCAAAGCTGTCTGCTTCTGCATTAGACTGCATAATGGAATTAAATTAGTATATATAATTCCAATTACAACAAAGCTCTTAAGTCTCAATTATTTGCTTGAATTTTCAGAAACTGCATGTTCTTTTGCTGTAACTAAGATTTTTTTTTCAGTCATAGGTTTGATCTGCCTTAGCAAATAAACAAGAAGGATCATATGAAATATTTTTTCATAAGTGATCTTAAGGCAAGGAAAGCAAGAATAAAGTATGATTCTTACTGCATTCTGCACATCTGTATCTGTGCTAAATACATAGTATATTGGTGCCAAGACCTCATTCATTCCTTGGACATAACGAATGGCTGGATTGAGTTTTGAAAATAGGAGGAGAATATTCCTCATTGATTCCTGTAAACAGAAATATTTCGCAGCACAGAGAGAAACCTCAAACCCCGAGTGGAGTTAATGTAGATAGTTGATAATCTATTTGTTAGTCCAAAAATACCCTATATATTGAAATTTGGTCTGCTAATAGATTGAAAATATTGTGGTGACAAGTAAATACACCATGGATGTAGGAAGCAAAAAGGCATACCCTGTGTCTCCTGCTGAATGATGACTCTCCTGAGAAGAATTTCATTTCAGGATGTGTGCGTTGCAGATCACGGTCAATCTGTTCTGCAATATCTATATGCTGGAAACCAATGCATCCATTATGGTAAACATTCGCAAACTTATATCATGAAAGGAAAATAATAATCAATCAATGGTTGATGCCATATGAACAGAGATTTACCTCGAAGTATTGATGCCAAACACTAGCCTTACCAAGGCTCAAAGGGTGATCTTCGTGAGAAATCTCGTGCCGTATAAGTGGTCCATCAGTACCACTATCAGCATTGTTATGCTCATTAGAGTGAAGTGCTTCTTCTTTAATTCTTGCAAGTTCTGACTAGATTGGATATTAAGATTAGTTCAATAAAACTTATAAAATACTACCTAAAGCCTAAAGTGCACTTCCATTCAACATGTAAGATATTCTCTGGTAAACTAAATTAAAAAGAACCTCTTCATTAAACATATGCTGCATCATAATCAGTATCTTACAGGAGTTAGAAGAAGCTCTTCTTTCAGCTTAGCATATTTTTGTCGATTCTCAATGAGCTCCTTTTCCCACAAGTCCCGAGATGGAGGCAAGTAACCCAGGAGCAGCTGCAAGAATTTAACATTCAAAGACAATAAATACTTGTACTGAATATTTGAATATTAAATGTGAAATAATCAAACTCTTTCATTTTTCCTGTGAAATGTACAAATCTCAGTAAGTTGATTTTCTTTTCCAAACAATTATGAATGTACGTACTGGTTTCCATTAACTTCAACACTAACAAATAAATGAAGAAACTTATTAAGAACATATTTAATTTTTTGGAGAAATTTACCTTCCAAACCGTTGGACGCAAATTTCCACCATCAGGAAGCCCGGTGCCAACGATTCTTTGCAGTTTTCCCACATTTATCATCTTTTGAGAAATCTAAATTATACAAAAAACGAAAATAAGGATTGAGATTGTTAAAGGGAACCATAATTTCATGTTAAAAGAAAATGAAATAAAACAAAAGACTAATACCAGTTAAATCTCCCACCTCATACTCAATATCGGACCTTTTCTCATCATCTTCAATAGTTTTCACAACCGAAATATGATCCGACCCGTCTTTTTGGTGTCTCGGCTGACGCCCGTGATGTTCCAATTCTTCATCCACTTCCAACTTCCTCTTCACCATTGCCTCTTCTTGAACTTCACCATCTTCATCATCACTTTCACTTTCACGACCGGACCTGAATCTGTTTGGCTGAATAATCTCAAGCTCTTCACCCAAATCTAAAGCCGAACCGGATCCTCCGCTATCACCATCCTTGTCCTCGAAACCGGCGAGTAAACTGCCGAGTCGATCGGGAAGGTTGAGCTTTTTGCCTTTGAGCATGGTGGCACCGTGGTGGGAAAGTTGGGACCGAGTCAGGGGAGAGTTGGGGTGTGGTTTGGTTCCATGGAAAATCTTCTTTGGGAGGTTCTGGAATAGGTTTCATGACTCGGAAAAGAATGGGTTGTGATTGAGGGACTTTCCTTTGCTCCATGAAGAAGACTGGTAGTTATAAACGGTTTGAATGTTTGGTGGGTCCATACCTGATTTGCTCCAGTTATGGGTGTAAAAAAACTGTTTGAATTATTGGTATAATGTTTGTTCATTTTTATTTATTAAATAAATAAATAAATAAATAAAATTTAAGTGTATTATTATCTTTTAAATTAGAGTAATCTGTATAAATGATCATTACTATTTAAGTAATTTTTTATTTTTTTAATTTAAATTTTACAAATTAATTACTAACATTATTAATTTATAAAAAACTGATCATTAGACTGTTAATAATTACTGAAATAAAATAATGCTGATATGGATTTTAATTTGACCATTTTAACATTATTACATAAAATCATTTTGACCGACATTTCTTCTTCTTCTTCCACCCTCACACTATAAACACTCCATCTTTTTCTCCTCCACAATGGATACTCTCAAGCTTCCTTCTTTCACCATCTGAATTTTGGGTTCCTTTTTCTTTTTGATAAATTGCTCTTTGTCCGTCACTTGAGATCCGAGTAAGATCCAGTGAACTGAAAATGGCTCCGAGTTTAGATTTTTCCAATTGGTGGCCAACTGAAGCGAAGAAAGGAACGCCTGTGGTGGTAAAAATGGAGAACCCAAACTACTCGATGGTGGAAATCGACGCCCCCGATGCTGCATTCCGGCCAGTGGAGAAAACCAGAGGCAAAAACATAAAGCAAGTGACTTGGATTTTACTTCTCAAGACTCATCGTGCCGTCGGCTGTGTCGCTTGGATCGCCTCACTCTTCTGGGAAGTGCTTGGAGCCATCAAGAAAAGACTGATCTTCAGGCAAGATGTTGCCATGGCCAGTGAAAAAATGGGGAAAGGGAAAGTGTTGTTTAACTGTCATTAAACTCTTCCGTGTGACTTCCCTCGCAATTCTGGGTTTCGAATTGCTCGTTTATCTCAACGGAAGGCATTATTTTTGGAATCAAAATTTTCATATTACGATGAGCAGTGACATCCAGGGGTTGCTCCACTTGGTTTACGTCACTTGGTTGTCGGTTCGGGCCAATTACATTGCAGGTGCAGTTGTAGAGGGAGTTGACGAAGCAGGCTGTTTGGAAAGATTTTTTTGCAAAAATGTCAAAAAGAAGCTATTATTTCAAAATTTTGCAGAATGAAGCCTAAAACTTTATATGAAACTATCTATAATACCGTAAACAGTAGTTTTAAATGATAAAGGTGATTCGCCAACATGAATTACAGGAGAAATCAATCATCCATAAGAATGAAGAATTTATTAAAACTACTAAAGAAATAGCATTGCTTAAAATATTTTTTCATCAAATCTCATCTTGGAGATTAATCACATACCCAAGTAACCATCAAACGTAAAATAAAACATAAAAGTAAGAAATACATTAGTTAAAGAAACTTTTTATTTTATAAATACCTTGCTAAACTTGACTACCAGAAAGCCATATTCGGAGATTTTGTTATCAGCTAAAGTGGTTTCATCCTTCAAAACCTTCCTATTATGAATCAAAAGCTGTTGTCCACATGGGCTTGGAGAAAGAAGAAGAAGAAGAAGTAGTGTTCTCACGTGATCAAATAATGCCAAAGAAAAGTCAAATTAATGTGCCACATCAGCATTTCGTTACTCTGGTGGCGGTTAGTGGTTGGGTGACCATTTTATTATAAATCGATAACGTTAGTGATTAATTTGTTACTTTTAAAATTTCGGTAGGAAAAACTAAAACTTATTCAAACATTAGTGATCATTTGTGTAGTTTACCAGGGAATAAGATTACTGGGAATGTTACATTACTGTGTTTGGTTAGTTTGACAAGAATATAAGATTACAGTGTTTGGTTGAAGGAATAAAAGATTACTGGAATGTATATTTTACCAAATTGTCATTGTTCTATATTTGTTTTTTAACAAGTGAAATTCTAAATATTTAAATAAAAATTATTTATATAAAAATTCTATTTGTTGATAATATATTACTTGAGTATTTAAATATATCATGTATTCATAATAATAAAAAGATGTAAATTATTTTTTATTATCTAAGATATAATATTTATTATATCTTCTATATATAATAATTTATTTATTTATCTTTTATATTTATACTTAATTCTACATACTTTATCATTATTATTTATCTCATTAATTTATATTACAAAAATATAATTCAAATAAATAAGAAAATATAATACTAAAAATCATATTGTCTATAATTCAAATATTTCTTTTATATTTTATCATTTTTTTCTCTATTTCTTCTACTATTATCACTCAAGATAACAGGAAAGTTCATTAGATAAACCCTTGGCATTCACCGCTTCGGACAAATATTTTTATATTACTTATTTAAAGTTTAAAAATACTAATAGTTTAATGTTTTTAAACGATTTTGAATTAATCTTTTTTTAATGGAATAAAGTATGCTCTTATATTTGTTTATATTTATGAATGATTTGCAACCACTACATTAATCGATTCTCGATTGAATTGGTTCGATTAAAGACCATATTAACAAGGAACCTAAAAAGAAATTCAAAAGCCATAAAATAACTTGTTCATTTGTCTTTCTTTATTTCAATTTTTGGTTTTTAAGTACAGTTATTCGGATTTCCAATTTTATAACCACTAGATCAACCGACTCTCAATTGAATTGGTTCGATTGATCGAATTAAAGAACCTATTAACAAAGAACCTAAAAATAACTTGCTCATCTGGTTTTTCCTATTTCAATGTTTGATTTTGGTTTTGAAGTTGTTCACAACAATTCTTTAAATTTCCAATTTTAGACAGATGAACCCCCAGACCAGCCGATTCTCAATTGAATTGGTTCAATCGGTCGAATTACGACATTAAAATTTTAGCAACCCACATGATAATTACGTTACATTCAAAATTGGTTGAGAGCATCATCCAAATAGCATTGAGTTTGATACATACATGTATCCAACAGTAACATATACCGGAGAAGCTTTTGTGAATTTGAAAATGTGAATGGCACCATCTATCAAAGACTTCCAATATTCACTACCGATAAGTTGCAGTGGCTGATCCAGTATGCTGCTCTACTTTCCTATGTAGCACCATCTATCAAAGACTTCCAATATTCACTATCAATAAGTTGCGACACACATGAAAGCGATAACTTTTAACTATCAAAGATTGTATAATAGCATGAAGCTATCATGAAGCATAAACAGAAAAATAATATTATCCATGCAAGGAAAAGGTTTTCATAACAACATACTAACTGAAGAACCATAACAAGATACTAAGATTTGGCTTCAAATGACTACTATTATTCATACAAAATCTATCACGATTGAAATACCAAAATTATTTAGTAAGAACCTGCTCCCAGAGTTCTTCAGCCTCTTTAGTCCGACCACACATTTTTCCTCGATCAGATATTGCTATTGCCCAGTTGTAGAAAGCCTGTTAAGCAACAACATTGCAACAAAGTCAAGGAAAAGAATATCAGTAAAAAATATATACTATACATACTCATCCAAATATGGGAACATCTATGCATTATGCATCTCTACACTTATTTTTCTTGTCTATCCAGCTTTTTATATAGCTTATGCATTCTGCATCTCCACACTTATTTTTCTTGTCTATCCAGCTTCTTATATGGCTTATGCATTCTGAGAAGTCATCATGCCCTTTGTAATTGAAAACGAAATTAAAAAATCACAAATTATCAGTGAGTTGAACAAGAACTCATACATCATGAAGTTATGGGCAGAGATGAGTAGCCTCATCATACTTTTTACAAGCCTCCTCTAGCAAGGCATCTTTAGAAGGCGAAGTAGAATCTGGACTAATCTGCACTTTCCTGCAAGCCAAATAAGAATCGCATGGACATAATGAGAAATATGTAATATTTTGCAAAGATTACATCATGTTTACTTTCATAAACTTAAGCAGGAAGTTCTAGCAAAATAAGAATTGGACATGATATATCATTTTGAATGATGTTAAGATAACAATATCATAATGAACCAGCATCTCAAACTTGAAGAACCAATGCCCAGTTGTAAAGAGCATCATAATCTTATGGGTTTCTCTCTAGCGCAGTAGCATACCTACAAAATTTGACTTAAAAGTAGTACTACAGAATAGCAGAATCAAAGCAGCAACATATCAGGTTCAATACATCATGTTTACATTCATAAACTTAAGCAGGAAGTTCTAGCAAAATAAGAATTGGACATGATATATCATTTTGAATGATGTTAAGATAACAATATCATAATGAACCAGCATCTCAAACTTGAAGAACCAATGCCCAGTTGTAAAGAGAATCATAATCTTCTGGGTTTCTCTCTAGCGCAGTAGCATACCTACAAAATTTGACTTAAAAGTAGTACTACAGAATAACAGAATCAAAGCAGCAACATATCAGGTTCAATATGAATAATAAGTGTGAAAAGTGTATAAAACAAGATGATGGTACCTCCTAGCAGCATATACAAGAATCCGTTGGCGAGACCTGCCTTCCTCATTAGTACCAGTGAAACTATTGATCAACTCCATTACAACATTGTTTTGGTAGGATTGTCATTGTCTGTTTTCTTGACTGAAGCATATATAAATCATGGAGTAGAAAATGATATCATTGTCGAGCAAAAGAAACATTATAAATACAAGAAGAAACAAGATGATAAATATTTAGTTATTTACTCCTACAAGACAAAGAAACTTTTACTGCATGAATGACGCCATGAAAAAAAATATAAACTGTATTCTACAGACTACAAGATTGCAAAATCAAGGACTCCTTAATCAAAGTTATAGAAAGCGTAAAATACAGTTAATGACGCATATGAAGTTGAGAACAAACTAAAAGACTCACATACAACAAAACATACATGATTA